TGGAATTAACAAAGGAAAGGTTTCTCTTGATGTGCTCGCTGTGGGTGGCAGTAATTATAAACATACTGGTTTCTACCCTGCTTCAAAAATCTGAAGTCTCAAGTTAATTTGAGTAATCTTGCCTGAATCTTCCTGTTGTTCTCCTTGAACTTGTGAGAGGCTGAGTAAAAGAGCATTCCTTCCCTGGGGAATCTCCACCTCCACCACCTGTCTTCTCGGGAGCTCTGGAGCTGCATTCATCCCACTTTCAGGTTGGACAAGGTTCCCGGAAGTGTGCTGAAATGGTCCAGCAGAAGTGGCTGAATTAACTGCAGCAGAGGTGGTCCCCTTTGGCACTGAAATTAAATTTGTGGGGCCCAGGTGATGCTGGAGGCAGTGCTGGCCTGGTTGGAGGACGATCTGCCTTCTTGTGATGCTGTTTGGCTTTGGCCAAATCACTGCCTCTCTTCTGTCCCTGAATTTCCCCGTCTGCAAACCGGGAAGGTTGGACTGGGTAATATTTTGTTGTTGTTAATTCTCATCTGAGAATATTTGTCATATTGATTTTTAGAGAAGGTAGAAGGGAGGGGAGGAGGAAGAGGAGGGGGATAGAGAGAGAGAGAAAAAAACATCAATGTGAGAGAGACACATCAATTGGTTGCCTCTCACATTCCCTGACCCTTAAACACCCTTGACTGGAAAGCAAACCCAAGACCCTTCAATGCATGGGCCCGTGCTCTGATCACTGAGCAGCACTGTCCAGGGCTGGACTAGGTAACTTTTTAGGGCCCTTTCTCAGGTTTTTTTCACCTCAGAGCCTTCTGACCCTTGAGATCTGGGTGGTCCGAGGCCAGAAGACTGCTCCTTGACCACAGAAAGGGATGGAACTGGGTAGGTTTGGAGGGAGGGTTGGATGGGGAAGGAGGAGGGATTGATTAAACTGTCCCAGAGCCTTCCCATATCTCTTCCTGATCTTCCCCACGAGCCCTTGGAAGCCCCGACAGGAGGAAAACCTCTCCTCTGCCTTCCCTGGAGCACATGAGCAGCCCCCCACTCCAGGAAACAGACCAGGCAAGGACTCCCCAGGGGAAGGCCGTGCTGAGTTTGAGGCCCAGGTGGGAGCAGCCCCCGGCTCGGGACACTGCTGCTATTGTCTCTGGAACCCCAGGACTGGCCAGGGGCCCGAGATGCTTTCGTTCCTCTTCGCTTTGCTCTATTTGTCTGCCAGAAGGCAGGGACAGCTTTTGTTTCTTTTTGGCAGCAGCTACAGAGGGTTTGAGTGTCTGAAATACAGTGCGCACCCGAGCGCCCACGGGCCAGCCACCTCTCCGTGGGACAGAAGCCAGAGGAGCCGGGCAGGAAGAGTTGACAGGATCTGCCCTGCCTCGCCCAGCGATGCCCCGTGAGGGAACTGGAAGAAAGGGGCCTTGTGTGCCACATCAGAGGACTCTGGGGAGGTGTGGAGGGACAGGGTTCTGGGACCCTGCCAGTCAGACAAAATGTGATGGATGGCTACCGCTCCAGGGATTTCTCCTCCACCATCCCCTCACCTGCTGGCAAGAGCTCCCGAGCCTGTAAGAGAATTGCTGCCTAGGTTGCCCTCCAAGACCAAGGCTAAACTTCCCAGACCTTCCCCACATTATTCTCTTTTTTTTATATTTTATTGATTTTTCACAGACAGGGAGGGAGAGAGAGTTAGAAACATCAATTAGCTGCCTCCTGCACACTCCCCACTGGGATGTGCTTGCAACCAAGGTACATGCCCTTGACCGGAATCGAACCTGGGACCTTTCAGTCTGCAGACCGACGCTCTATCCACTGAGCCAAACCAGCTTTGGCCCCCACATTATTCTTCCTATTGCAATCCCATCCACAGTGGGGGAGCAGGGAGAGTGTCTCTACCTAGAGCAGTCCAGGGGCCTACACAGCCCAGTTTATAAGCTGTTTCTGTTTCCGGAGAATTTGCAGAGAGGATACTTTTTATTCATAGTCCTCCCTACCCCTCAGGAGGTACATAAGCCAGGCCTTTGTATGCTGCATTCTAAATAGTTAAATGTGTTTGAGGAAGGGGGAGGGGAGTGTGGGAAGGGCCACCCAGACAGAAGGTCCAGAAAGCTCAGCCATGAGGGAGCTGACGCTGGGCAGGAGGACACATTCTCCTGGAGGCCAGGATGGCCTGTCCTGACCTGAGCCGGCTGCCACCACCCGGAAGGATTGCATCATGGGCTCTTCTGCCATGGACACATGGGCAGATTCTACTTGCATTCTTCGCCTCTCTCCTTCGCCACCCTCAAGGTGAAAGGCATTTTCTGAACTCCGGTTGCAGCCTCTGGCACTAGAAACTTGACAGGCACAATTGAACTAAAGCTACCAACTGGGATAGGGGCCTAAATTCCCAGGCTTGGCCTCTAAACGTAATGGGTGTCAGTAGGGATTGTCAAGGCGCCTCCACATCTCAAGGTCATTGACTGCCTGGCCCAGATAACAGAAGCCAGCCCACAGCATAGTGAGTGAGAAGCTTGCAGGGGGGAAGAAGGGGGGCAAGGACAGAGGCCTGACCTGGCTTCGCCCACATAGACCCTACCCTGAAGCCACACTTCACTCAACATGTGTAAGTATGTGTGTGTGAGAGAGAGAGAGAGAGAGACCTCACTTTTCCGGGTCATATATATTACCTCATTTAATCCTATGTCAATGTCAAAGATTATGTGATTTACCCAGTATCTCACAGCCAGTAAACTGAAGATTCAGCCCTGGAATCATCCCTTCCTTTAGATTCAGTCATCCTCCCACTTCTCAAATCCTCTCTGAGGATTGATTCCAGCTCACAGTGTTTCCCTGTGGCCTCTGTGCTCCCCCTTAAGCTTTGGGCATCTAAAAAGCAGGTACTCTGCAACCCCAGAGTTTAGCAAAGGACACACAAGAAACCCTACGGGATGTTTGTCTCATTAATCAGTGATTAGATTTATTCCTTGGTATTAATGAATTTAATTAGATTGCTCTTCTCTTGTTATTCTTTGCACAACTTTTTAAAAAATATTTTACTGATTTTTTACGGAGAGGAAGAGAGAGGGATAAAGAGTTAGAAACATCAATCAGCTGCCTCCTGCACACCCCCCACTGGGGACATGCCCACAACCAAGGTACATGCCCTTGATCGGAATCGAACCCAGGGCCCTTCAGTCCGCAGGTTGACGCTCTCTATCCACTGAGCCAAACCGGTTTTGGCTGCACAGCTTCTTTAGTTTGCAAAATCCCTTTACTGACACCCATTACGTTTAGAGGCCAAGCCTGGGAATTTATGCCCCTTCCCAGTTGGTAGCTTTAGGTCAATTGTGCCTGTCAAGTCTCTAGTGCCCAAATACATGCCTAGGTCCAATAGAAGTGACACTGAAGCAGGCTGTTCCACAGTGACGCGGGCTGCTTTTAGAGAGAAAAGATGCGCTTCCACTTCCCCTCCTGTTCCCTGGGGCCTGTGCTCAGGAAATCACTCTTTTGGGGAGAAGAAAGTCATTTTGGAGCCTGGAGTAGCCAGAGAGCTCTAAGCTCTGACTGCAAACCAATTTCTCCCACTCTGGTCTTTGAATTGAATGATAAGGCCCAACGTTTCCTCACAAGGAGCTGGACTTTGCCACAGCTGTTAGCAGTGGTGGCCTGCTGTGGAAGCAGAGCCCACGGCCCGGGCAATTACAAATCTGTTCCTCCAGGGACTTTATGTCTTGCAGAGTCAGATTAGAAGGAAGGAGGCCCCAAGAGCTACTTACAGCAAATTCTGTCCACTTGCAAGTCCTGAGGACGCCCAGCCATACCCATCTCTGGCTGTAGCCCATGAACAATGCAGAGGCCCACTCTGCCTCGTTCAGAGGCTGTTTCCATCTCCAGAGAATTGCTCAGGGGATGTTATTTTTATCCAGAACAGGACCCACTCACTGCTCCATAACAGGGAGGAAGTAAGTGCTAGGAACATAGGCTGCTTTTAATGTGTAGTTACTACTTGGCCAAGAGCATCAAAATGTCCCACAGGCGTTTTGCTACTTGAATGGACCAGTGGAAGCCTCAAACCTTTTAGCTGTTCAGCCCCTCAGCCTAAAGATTCCCCCCCCCTCCCCCCGCCCCTCTGGAGCTAATGGTAATTGACACAAGTTTTCAAAAAGCAATTTGGCAATCTGTAACAAGACCCAACACCCCCACTTCTGGGAATCTGTCCTGAGGACAGTCTCCAAATGGTTGATACAAAGACTATGTAGTAACATGAAATATATTTATGATGTCATGATTAGTCTAAGAACCGACCAAGAAATTGGCCAGAGATGGTAGTAATTGTGTTCGAGTAATTACTTCATTGGAGATTCTTTTCCCCAAACTTTACTTTAGAATCTTGATTTTACCCTCCTCTGCACTCATGGTTAATCGAGTCAGGAAACTGGCAGGAACAGCACACTCAGGATAGTTGACAAAAGTTTAATAAAGGTACTATTCCCTGTTACCAGGCCTTTCCACTCTGATTTCTGCAACTCTCAGTGACTCACTCAACAATTATTGAGCACCTACTTATCATCTTGTGAGGGAGGCAGGCTTTCAAGTACATAAATTATCACAAATAACGTAAGTAGAGTGCTGTAAGGAGTGCAAAGGGAGAAGTAAAACTGTCGGAAGGAGGTGGGAATCAAGGACGGCTTCAAAGGGAGGTGATTGGTGCATGTTCAGTTCTGAAAGTTGTCTGCCAGGACATGTACAAAGGCAGCAACGCAGGGCCTAACGCGGTGCTTTTAGGAAATTACACGTGGCTCTGCACGGCTGGAAGAAATACTGGATGGCTGTGAAGAAACTATGGGAGCCCTCACCTGCGGACTGAAAGGTCCCAGGTTCCATTCTGGTCAAGGGCATGTACCTTGGTAGCAAGCACATGCCCAGTAGGAGGTGTGCGGGAGGCAGCTGGTCGATGTTTCTCTCTCATTGATGTTTCTAACTCTCCATCCCTTTCCCTTCCTCTCTGTAAAAAGTCCATAAAATATAATTAATTTTTTTTTTAAAGAAGCTATGGGAGCAGACATGGCTTTAGTTAGATCATGCTGAGCGCTGTGCTCCAAGTGGGCTTTGTGTTTTGGAGTTAGCAGGTTTGCTTTTCAGAGAGCTGTCTGGCCTCAGTGCAAAGAGAGGACTGAATGGGGCAAGGCTGGAGGCAGAGAAGAGCGGAAAGGAGGTCCTGGCTGCTCGGCCAGCAGATAGCCTTTCTCAGCATCGGCCTCTCCCGACTTTACTTGGCCGGCGCCTCGCTCTCGGGATCTCCCTCCCCCTCCTCCCCGAGGGCCCTGGGCGGAGAGGCGAGGCCAGGCGAGGCGAGGCGAGGGTGGCCCTGCCTGGGTGGTCTCCGGCTCTACCCCCCGCGGCGCCGTTGCCTAGCAGCAGACCCGGGCCGCGCGGATCTGGGTAATTTGCGGGCCCCGCAGCCAATGGGAGAGCGTCGCCCCTGCCCGCTCCCTTTTTCTGGGGCTACAGACGCTCGCCCGGCACTGCGCTCCCACCTCGAGCCGCGCGAGCGCCCAGGGCTGCCGGCTCCGCGGGACTCACTCCGGCCGCGGCCCCCGGTCACTGCCCCCGCGGCGCGCCCGCCCCCGACCCTCTCCCGAGCGGTCCCGCTGAATCCCCACGCGGCCCCGCGGTACAGGGGGACCAGACCAGCCTATGGGGGCTCCCAGATAACGCGGGCTGGGGGCGCCCAGCCCCCCCACTCCCGCCAGCATGGCTCGGCAGCCACCCCTCGGGGAGCTGCCTCCGGACTACACGCCCCCAGCCGCACCCGCAGCGCCCCAGGTGAGTGCAGGGGGAGCCGGAGAAGGAGATGGGACCCCGGGTCCGTCACTCAGGTCAATGCGAGGTGGGAGGACGTCTCTGAGTGCCTATGTCACTGCCTGCTGGGAAAGGGGTGTGTGTGTGTGTGTGTGTGTGTGTGTGTGTGTGTGTGTGTGTGGTCGGCCAGTGAGTGTCTGTGGCTTCACCTCTTTCCACCTGAGAGCAGGTGTGCATACATGTATCCTTCTCTCAGAAAAGAGGTCTCTGCCATCCTCAGGTGTGTACTGGGTAGGAGAACAGGAAGTGGAGTTCAGTCTCATTCCCTGTTTGGCCCTGTGGCTGTGTAGGTCCACCCTGTCCTGCATCCAGAAACCAAGAGGCTAGGGCTTGGCAGAGGGTGTCCCGAGGGAGAAAATGGGAGGATCCCGTGTTGCAGCAATGCCGACCGACCCTTCTCTTTGCACCCCAGATCCTAGCTGGGAGCCTGAAGGCTCCGCTCTGGCTTCGTGCTTACTTCCAGGGCCTGCTCTTCTCGCTCGGCTGCAGGATCCAGAGACACTGTGGCAAAGTGCTCTTCCTGGGACTGCTGGCCTTCGGGGCCCTGGCCCTGGGTCTCCGAGGGGCCACCATTGAGACCGACCTCGAACGGCTCTGGGTGGAAGGTGAGTTGTAGACACTGAGCTGCCGGGGTATGGTGAGCCCAAGACAAGGACAGAGTGAGGCCTGGCCCAGGTGGCTCCTTGGTTGAGCCTTGACCTGGGAACCAGGAGGTCATGCATGGTTCCATTCCTTTCAGGGCACATGCCCAGGTTGCTGGATCAGTCCCCAGTAGGAGGCATGCAGGAGGCAGCCGATCAATGATTGTCATCATGGATGTTTCTATCTCTCCCTCTCCCTTCGTCTCTGAAATCAGTTTGAAAATGAAAATAAAAAAAGAACAGAGTAGGAGCCGGTACTGAGTTCTAGTGGACGTGGCTCTGGGTCTGGAGGGGACACCTGCCCACAGGCACCTCGGCCTCTGGGAGCCCTGCTCCCACTCACACCGTAACGAACGCCTGATGGGGTCTGTGACGAGGTCTATAGAATAGTCATCTGTGAGTAGGAGCCTATGTTTAGCATTCATTGCCCACCTTTTATGTGTATTTTTTAACTGCATGGCAGGATTTGCAAAGACACTTTTTAAAAATGACCTATATACCCTAACTGGTTTGGCCCAGTGGATAGAGCTTCGGCCTGTGGACTGAAAGGTCCCAGGTTCGATTCCGTTTAAGGGCATGTACCTTGGTTGCGGACACATCCCCAATAGGGAGTGGGCAGGAGGCAGTGGTTCGATGTTTCTCTCTCATCAATGTTTCTAATTCTCTATTCCTCTCCCTTCCTCTCTGTAAAAAAAAAAATCAATAAAATATATTTTTTTTAAAATAAAAATTAAAACGACCCATATTTTAGTAGCAAAGAAAGTAAAACATGTACTGGAATATAATAAACAACATAATACAACGCAGAATATGATTGTGTTGTACAAGAGGAGGCAGGGAGAGATCCCATCTGATCTGGAGACCAACATTTAGGACTGGAGGGTGGGGAGGCTGGATACCGTATTTTTCGGACCATAAGAGGCTCCGGACCATAAGACGCACCAGTTTTTAGAGAAGGGAAATGAAGAAAAAAAGATTCTGAAACAAATAGTGTCCTAAAATATTGTATGTGCATTAAAACCCAACATCACAGTCATAAACACATGTAATCAACCCTGTAAAGTAAACAGCAGCATTTAGAACCATTTTAGAGCCGGGCAAGCACACAGAGACCACACAGAGCCGGGCAAGTAAAAAAACTTTTTTTTAAAGTATATGTGTAGGCTATATTTGGACCATAAGACGCAGGGACTTTTCCCCCCCACTTCTGGGGGGGGGAAAAAGTGCGTCTTATGGTCCGAAAAATACGGTAAATCACCTGACTGGGCTCCAGGGAGAGGTCCCAGCCCCAGGCCCCTGCAACCATTTAGTCAATCTGCACTTCCTGGGGACCAAATGCTCACTTCCTCATGGAAGTATTAGATTAAAATTATTTCTTAGTAATAATTTTGCCAGCTCTCTGCTTTCCCGGTGCCTGGCTTCACCCGGCAGCCCTTTACCAGAGTCAAACGCCCTCCTGTTCTTGCCTAAAAATTTACGTTTGTAGGTTCCCCAAACCTCCCCCAGCCCTGGCCCACACCCAAGGGCAGGGCCTAGGTTAGAGTCTCACACTCTCGAGTTACTTCAAATGCTGGCAAGCTCTAGGATCCAGAGCAGATGTTTCTTAGAGCCTGCCTGCCAGCCTGCCTGGCTCCCACACCCCATCCCCACCCTACCCAGCCCTCTGCAGACTCTCACACATACACACTCAAGGCCAGCCCCGGGGCTAAGGGCAATGTTTATCTGTGCCTGCCTGCCCCCGGCCCCAGGACACACATGTGCATACACGCACTGACACATATCCCCACCCACACCACTGCTGCCTGGGTGGTCCCAAATTACTCTGGGATTTCCTGCCACAGCGGAGGCTGTGTCTCCGCCCCCCCCTTCTCCTTCTCCTTCTCCATTCCCCAAATCTCCCCCATCTCAACACTGCTTCAACCTAAACGTTTCTTCATTCTTTCCCCTACACCCCAGCACAGGGCAGGCTAGATCCCACCAGATTTTTGCTCCGGTTGCTGGGAGAGTGATGTAAGAGGGCGGTACCCAATTCCTAGCACTCTTTCTTTTATTTAGAATTCCGTTCTGTCCTGTACTGGCTTGGGCTGGGGGTGAGGTCAAAGCAGTGATCTTGACCAGATCTTTTCTCTCTACTTCTTTTTTTTATTTATTTATTGATTTTTTTACAGGGAGGAAGGGAGAGGGATAGAAAGTCAGAAACATCGATGAGAGAGAGATATTGATCAGCTGCCTCTTGCACACCCCCTACTGGGGATGTGCCTGCAACCAAGGTACATGCCCTTGACCAGAATCGAACCCGGGACCCTTGAGTCCGCAGGCCGACGCTCTATCCACTGAGCCAAACCGGCTTCTCTCTACTTCTGAGTGAGGCTTCTCCCAGCAATGCCCTAGGCAGTGAGGAGCTCACCTAGGTGAGGATCGGAAGGGATATTCCATTCCTTTCCATTTTGCTGACACAGAAAGCAAAGAAAGAAGTTAGACATTGGCTCTCCGCGCTCTAGGCCAGACAGAGTTCAGGGTCTCCTCCAGCTCCAGCTTTGCCTTGGTGAGAGTTGGAATGTGACGTGTCCTTTCTGATGAATTTAGAAATAAAACTAAAGGTCTCAGAAATAGATCATTAAAATAAAAATCACAACATATAGTCCAACTGGTACGTACAGAAACAGTGATCGAGGTGGTTTTAAATTGGAGCCGTCGCCAAAACCGGTTTGGCTCAGTGGATAGAGCGTCGGCCTGGGGACTGAAAGGTCCAGGGTTCGATTCCGGTCAAGGGCATGTACCTTGGTTGCGGGTACATCCCCAGCAGGGGGTGTGCAAGAGGCAGCTGATCGATGATTCTCTCTCATGGATGTTTCTAACTCTCTAAACCTCTCTCTTCCTCTTTGTAAAAAAAATCAATAAAATATATATTTTTTAAAAATTGTAGCTGGCCCTGAAAATAAATATATGGCCATTCTATCAAGAAGGCCAGGGATGGCCACGCATCAGCAGTTGGTAGAACCACTATCCACTGAAATACATAGATTTTCTTTCTAAAACCTTAGAGGTCAGCCTCGGTTCTCCTGACTCACCTCATTGGTTGCTAAAGCAGCAAACTCTTCCTTCTTACCTTCGCTCACTATAGACCCTCCTTCCCACCTTCGTGGCCATTGCTCTAGTTCAGGGGTAGGGGAACGTCCAGCCCACAGGCCCACATAAGGCCCGAGAAACCATTTTGTCTGGACCTAATGGAGGCATTAGGGGTGAGTTAACTAAATGTTTGACCAAATAACGCAGGCTAATGTTTAAGCCTATGGACTGTGAATGATGGTACAAATACCCAAATGGCCCTTGGCATGTGCTGGTTGAAGCCTTCCTTGCTCTCTGGCAGGACATTTCTGATTGTATCGTTTGGAATGCTTTCAGCCACATGAAAGAGGAAGGAAAGGCGGGCGGAAGGGAGGGAGAAGATGGGTTTGTCCTCCCCTGCAGCAGGAAGTCTGGCAGCAGACAGCAGAGAAGTTCCAGAGTGGTTAATTCAGCAACCCCGGGACTAAGTACCTTTCTCCTCTGCCTGCTTCAGCGTGCTGGGCTTTCGTCCTCGGACTTGCCATCTCCTTGTCTTGGTTGCTTCAGAACCAGAAGCCTCCAGCTGACTTCCCCTATGGTCACAAATGTGCAGACCCGATGCCGAAATTCTTCACTGGGGAAGGCAATGGAATTGCTGTGATTGGCTTCTTAGGCTAGTCAGATTTCACTCCGAGGCTGGGAAGGAGCCTCACCGGATGGCCAAGGAAAGCAAGGTCTGAGAGGTGGCTGCTCTTGCCCCCTCCCCTTCAAATCTGCCTCCACACTGCCCTCCTGTGGTGCATCTAAATCTTGCCAAGTCAGTCCCCGTTAAGAGCCCTTCCATCACTTCCTGTGGCCTAGGGGAGGCTCCAGAATCAAGGCCAAGCTTCTTAGCACACTTCCTAGGCCCTCCACATCTAACTCTTTTTTTAAATCACCCAGCCAGCATAGCTCAGGGGTTGAGCGTCAACCTATGAACCAGGAGCTTACAGTTCGATTTCCTGTCAAGGCACATGCCCAGGTTGGGAACTCAATCCTCAGTGGGGAGCATGCAGGAGGCAGTCAAGCAATGATTCTCTCTAATCATTGATTTTTTTTTTAATAAATCTTTATTGTTCATATTATTACAAATGTTCCTCATTTTTTCCCCCCTCCATTGCTCCCCTCCACCAGGTTCCCACCCCACCCTCTGTCCTTTCCCCATCCCCCATTGTCCTCATCCATAGGTGCACAGCTTTTGTTCAGGCTCTTCCCGCACCCCCCTCTCCCCTTTTCCCCGAGAATCGTCGGTCCGCTCCCCTTCCATACCTCTGATTCTATTATATTCACCAGTTAATATTGTTCATCAGATTTTTTAATTCCCTTGGCTTTTAGTTTCACTTGTTGATAGTTATGTATTTGTTGATCATAATTTTTATCTATATCTTCTTCCTCTTCCTAAAGAACCCCTTTCAGGAATTCGTATAATTCTGGTTTGGTGGTGATGAACTCCTTTAGCTTTTTTTTATTAGTGAAGCTCTTTATCTGTCCTTTGATTCTGAGTGATAACTTTGCTGGGTAGAGTATTTTTGGCTGTAGGTTCTTACTATTCATCACCTTGAATATTTCTTGCCATTCCCGTCTGGCCTGCATGGTTTCTGTTGAGAAATCAGCTGACAATCGTATGGGTGCTCCTTTATAGGTAACTACCTGCTTTGCTCTTGCGGCTTTTAATATTCTCTCTTTGTCTTTTGCTCTTGGAATTTTAAGTATGATGTGTCTTGGTGTGGTCCTCTTTGGATTCCTTTTGTTTGGGGTTCTGTGCGCTTCCTGGACTTGTAAGTCTATTTCTTTCCCCAGGTGGGGGAAGTTTTCTGTCACTATTTCTTCCACTATTCTTTTGGTATCTTGCTCTTTCTCTTCTTCTGGGACCCCCATAATTCTGATGTTGGTTCGTTTGAAATTGTCCCAGAGGTTTCTTACACTATCTTCAACTTTCTGGATTCTCTTATCTTCTTGCTTCTACAGAGGAGTGTCCTCTGGCTCTTTGTGTTCTAAATCTTTGACTTGATTCTTGCGATCTTCCCTTCTGTTTTTAGGACTCTGTATAATATTTTTTATTTCAGACAATGTATTCTTTATTTCTAGTTGATCCCTTTTCATATCCTCATAGGTCTCATTTATTTTATCAGCCTTTTCTAGGAAATTCTTGAAAAACCTTTTAAGTGTGGTTTTGAACTCTATATCCAGTCGCTTCTTGTCCTCCATTTTTGTTTGTGATCTGTTTCCTTGTCTCGGCATTTTCACAGCTTCCCTGAGTTGGTAGGGTGGCTTTGTGTGCTAAGGTGTCCTATATGGTTCAGTGGGTCAGCCTCCCAGTTACCTGAGGTGGACAGCCTCGGTGTAGCCCTTTGTGGGTTGTGTGTGCAGTCTTGTTGTTAAGCCTTGCTTGTTGTTGGTAATTTGCATTTATAGGATTAGCTATAAGGTGGGCTCTTTTTCCATGCTCATGCTGGCTGACTAATTATATTCTCCCTTTTGTAGGCATGAAAGTTTTTAACAAATATTGATTTTTGTTGTTATCAATCCTCTCAAGGTTATTTTTTAAATGATTTCTAGAGAAAGTAAAAGGGAGAGGGAGAGACCGAGAGAAGCATTGATGTGAGAGAGACACATCAATCGGTTGTCTCCCACAAGGGCCCAGACCAGGGCTGGGGATCAAATCAAAACTGAGGAACACGCCCCTGATTGGATTCAAATCTGGGATCTTTCTAGTCACTGAGCCAAACCAGCTGGGTGCCACTGTCGATTTTGATGTCTCCTCCCATTCCGTTTCCTCCCCTCTCGCTTACAGTCATTTTTTTTCTCCAGTTCTTTCTCATTTTTCTGTCACATCATTTCTCTCCCAGCAACGATTTCATAATAACTTTGTATCTGTGCCTACTATATGCTGGGCAATTTTGTAAGGACTGGGCCTTCATTTATTTTTTTTAATATATTTCTTTATTTATTTCAGACAGGAAGGGAGAGCGAGAGATAGAAACATCAATGATGAGAGAGAATCATTGATCGGCTGCCTCCTGCACACCCCCCACTGGGGATCGAGCCCACAACCCAGGCATGTGCCCTTGGCTGGAATCGACCCTGGGACCCTTCAGTTCACAGGCTGACGCCCTATCCGCTGAGCCAAGCCGGCTAGGGCAATGTGCCTGAATTTATTGTAATTCTACCAAGGTAGGCATGCTGTCCATTTTACAGATGAGGAAATTGAGGGTCAGAGACTAAGTACTTTGCCCCAAGCACAAACTAAGTGTCAAAGCCAAGGCCCAAAGCCGGGTCTGCACAGAGCCTGCGTGCTCTCCCAGCACTGCCCCTGCTTCCTGCTCATATAAGACATCCCAGGTCATCTGTCCCCAAGTCTCATCGTCACTGTCAGCCGGGATTTATCTTTTCTCTCCTCGTTGTTTCTCAGGATTCTTTATTCTCTTCAATGTCGTATTTGAAATTGTCAGTGTTTTTTCTCCTGCTTTCTTATTCTCTCTGGGTTTCTTTCTTCCAGACAGGAAGGGGCCCCAGACAGGAAGGGGCCCCCAGACAGGAAGGGGCCCCCAGACAGGAAGGGCCCCAGATAGGAAGGAGCCCCCAGACAGGAAGGGGCCCCCAGACAGGAAGGGGCCCCCAGACAGGAAGGGACCCCAGACAGGAAGGGGCCCCAGACAGGAAGGGCCCCCAGACAGGAAGGGGCCCCCAGACAGGAAGGGGCCCCAGACAGGAAGGGGCCCCAGACAGGAAGGGCCCCAGACAGGAAGGGGGTCCCAGACAGGAAGGGGCCCAGACAGGAAGGGCCCCCCAGACAGGTAGAGGCAGAACTGGGTCTAAGACCAGACCAAGGGCCCCAAGCCTCAGGGTGGGTGGCACTGTCCCCCGCCCTCCTCCAAACCAGTCAGGTCATGTCCCCTCCCAGCGTCCTCACCTCCCCAAGCCCCAGTGACCGAGCCTGACTCCATGGCCGGCACAGGCCGGGCGGGAGGGGCGTGGAGGCTGAGGCGGCCGCACTGGGACCCCTGCTGCCCGGACAGGGACCTGGTGAGAGGGACCGGGCACCCTCCCTTCCCCGGGGCCCCTGTGCTGGCACCGCTGCCGGGACAGGAGCGGAGCCCGGGGGCCTCCTGTGTGCGGGACGCGGTGTGTGCGCATCACCCCGCACGGCCTCTCCGCCAGGGCCTCTGCAGGCCCCTTGTTTCCAGGCCCCCCACCCCGCCTCTTGGCAGAACCGCGTGGCTGTGTCACTGCCGGGGCCCCTGAGCGAGGAACCGCCCGGCCCTGCTCCTTGAGGCACCCCCCCAGGCCTCCTCCTCCTCGCCCCTGCGTCCCTCTCTCCCCCACCAGCTCAGAGAGGAGCTGAGCGAGGCTCCCTCCGCTCCTCCACTCGGTGCCCCAGGCCCAGCCTGGCCCAGCTCCTACTGACCTCTCATTTTTTACTGATTTGCCCCAAGCCTAGCCAGTCGGCTCAGGCTCAGTGCTTAGACCCCGAGGCTTCCACAGGCCACACAGCGAGGCTCTGGCTTCCCTGAGGGACCCGACTCTGAGCCTGGGCGTCAGGGGGGCCGTCGGGGAGAGGCGGGAGGGGGCGGCAGGGGGGCCGTCGGGGAGAGGCAGGAGGGGGCGGCAGGGGGGCCGTCGGGGAGAGGCAGGAGGGGGCGGCAGGGGGGCCGTCGGGGAGAGGCGGGAGGGGGGTCCCGGTGGCCATCGGGGAGAGGCGGGAGGGGGGTCCCGGTGGCCGTCGGGGAGAGGCGGGAGGGGGGTCCCGGTGGCCATCGGGGAGGAGGAGGAGGGGGCGGCAGGGGGGCCGTCGGGGAGGAGGAGGAGGAGGAAGGGGCGGCAGGGGGGCCGTCGGGGGGGGGGAGGAGGAGGGGGCGGCAGGGGGGCCGTCGGGGGGGGGGAGGAGGAGGGGGCGGCAGGGGGGCCGTCGGGGAGGAGGAGGAGGAGAAGGGCTTCTCCCACTTGTGCTGGGAGGCGCCGGGTCTGACCCGCGCCCTCCCCGCCCTCCCGTCGGCAGCGGGCAGCCGGGTGAGCCGGGAGCTGCAGTACACCAAGGAGAAGCTGGGCGAGGAGGCCGCCTACACCTCCCAGATGCTGATCCAGACCCCGCGCCGCGAGGGGGAGGACGTCCTCACGCCCGCGGCGCTGCGCCTGCACCTCCAGGCCGCCCTCGCCGCCAGCAAAGTGCAGGTGTCCCTCTTCGGGAAGTGAGTCCGGCCGACCGAGCAGCTGGGAGTGAGGGGGGAGGCAGGGGAGCGGGGACCCCTCTCTGACCTCCTCCTGGGCCCCCGCTGCTGCAGGTCCTGGGATCTGAACAAAATCTGCTACAAGTCAGGGGTTCCCCTCATTGAGAACGGGATGATCGAGCGGGTGAGTGTGCGGGGGCGGAGCCTGTCCTGACGGAGGGGCGGGGCCGGGGCCGAGGCGGGAGGGGGGTGGAGAGGGGCCACACCGAGGCGGGAGGGGGGTGGAGAGGGGCCACACCGAGGCGGGAGGGGGGGTGGAGAGGGGCCACACCGAGGCGGGGGGGGGGTGGAGAGGGGCCACACCGAGGCGGGAGGTGGGGGTGGAGAGGGGCCACACCGAGGCGGGAGGGGGGTGGAGAGGGGCCACACCGAGGCGGGAGGGGGGTGGAGAGGGGCCACACCGAGGCGGGAGGGGGGTGGAGAGGGGCCACACCGAGGCGGGAGGGGGGTGGAGAGGGGCCACGGCCGAGGCGGGAGGGGGGGTGGAGAGGGGCCACACCGAGGCGGGAGGGGGGTGGAGAGGGGCCACACCGAGGCGGGAGGGGGGTGGAGAGGGGCCACACCGAGGCGGGAGGGCGGGTGGAGAGGGGCCACACCGAGGCGGGAGGGGGGTGGAGAGGGGCCACACCGAGGCGGGAGGGGGGTGGAGAGGGGCCACACCGAGGTCCCGGAGCGCAGACGGGACTCACGTGGCCTGGGGTGTCCCTGGCAGATGATTGAGAAGCTGTTCCCGTGCGTCATCCTCACCCCCCTCGACTGCTTCTGGGAGGGAGCCAAGCTCCAAGGGGGCTCTGCCTACCTGCCGTGAGTGCCCCCATCGCCCCTCCCCACCCTGGACCGGAAAAGAGGGTGGGAGTAAAGACAAAGCCTTACCCAGGGCCCAGTGACCGCCCCGCCAGGGTCAGAGCACAGCAGTCCGGCTCTCCAAGCCCCCGTCTCCACACCCCTGTCTCCTCGCCCGAAGGAAAGGCAGACCTGCCTTATTTAGACAGGACAGAACACGAAGGTCTGTCTGACCTGAGCCAGGATTTTTTTGAAAGATCCCCAGAAAGAGGCTGTCAGGGAGAGGTAGCTGGGTGTCTGCTAAGCTGTTCCTCGGGCAAAAAGGAGACCTGTGGGGAGCAGGGCCGTAGGGTCATGGATTAGACCTGAGGGTCAACGGCTTGGGGAGGGGCTGTGCGGGCTTTTCCGAGCCTTTCCTGTCTGTCCTGACGTCCGTCCTCGCCCCTCCCTCCTGACATCCGTCCTCGGCCCTCCCTCCTGATGTCCATCCTCGCCCCTCCCTCCTGCTACATCCTCGGCCCTCCCTCCTGATGTCCATCCTCGGCCCTCCCTCCTGATGTCCATCCTCGGCCCTCCCTCCTGATGTCCATCCTCGGCCCTCCCTCCTGATGTCCGTCCTCGGCCCTCCCTCCTGATGTCCATCCTCGCCCCTCCCTCCTGATGTCCATCCTCGGCCCCTCCCTCTGATGTCCATCCTCACCCCTCCCTCCTGATGTCCGTCCTCGCCCCTCCCTCCTGATGTCCATCCTCACCCCTCCCTCCTGATGTCCATCCTCACCCCTCCCTCCTGATGTCCATCCTCGGCCCCTCCCTCTGATGTCCATCCTTGCCCCTCCCTCCTGATGTCCATCCTCGGCCCCTCCCTCCTGATGTCCGTCCTCGCCCCTCCCTCCTGATGTCCGTCCTCGCCCCTCCCTCCTGATGTCCGTCCTCGCCCCTCCCTCCTGATGTCCGTCCTCGGCCCCTCCCTCCTGATGTCCATCCTTGCCCCTCGCTGGAGGCTGAGCCTGCGTTCCCTCCATGCGGAGGAGGGGGGTACAGCAGAGTCCCCTCCCCGTTGGGAGGGTGGGAATTGATCCCCGATTCTCACCAGCCACTGGCTCTCCCCTCAGCGGCCGCCCCGACATCCAATGGACCAACCTGGACCCCGAGCAGCTGCTGGAGGAGCTGGGCCCCTTCGCCTCCCTCGAGGGCTTCCGGGAGCTGCTGGCCAAGGCCCAGGTGGGCCAGGCCTACGTGGGGCGGCCCTGTCTGAACCCCGACGACCCCCACTGCCCGCCCAGCGCTCCCAACTACCACAGCAGGCAGGTGGGTTCCAGCAGGTCGGCCGGGAAAGGCTGTTTTCCCGGGACGGGAGAGAGCATCTGTGCCCTGTGCTCTGCCCGCCGCTTCCTGGATGTTGTCACCCTGTCCCCGCCGTGCTGGACACCTCCTGTTCCGTCCTCAGTCCGTTCCCCCAAGGAGCCTCCAGGGCACGAGAATTCTGTCCTTCCCCACGCCAGGAAGGCTGGGCTTTACCAAACAGACTTGCACAGGGAGACAGAAGGAGTAGCTGGGCACGGAGGTCATTCCTCGCTTCCTGAGTGTCCTGGGCCCCTGGAAGAGGGGCCTTTCCCCACAACCACCCACGTCACGCCCGCTCCTGCGGGCAGCCCAGCTCCGGCCCCTGCTCCGCCCTGCGGCCTCGCCTCGCCCCCGCAGGACACCGGCTGTTCCCTGAGCCCAGGCCGGAAGCTCAGGAGAGTTACCTGCCCTTCAGGCCTCCAGGGCTCCCGGCTCCCAAAGGGACCAGGGACCAGGCAGGGGCACGGCTGTCCACAGCCAGGGCCCTGAGCAGCGCCCCCCCTCTGCCCCCCAGGCTCCCCCTGTGGCCCAGGAGCTGAGCGGCGGCTGCCACGGGTTCTCCCACAAGTTCATGCACTGGCAGGAGGAGCTGCTGCTGGGAGGCACGGCCAGGGCCCCCCAAGGACAGCTGCTGAGGTAGGGCCCCCCCGGGACCTGGCAAGGCTGGGAGTTCACACTCCGGTTCCAGGCAGCTGGGTCAAGAGCCCCCTGCACGCCCCCCTGGCATCCAGGCCAGCGCTGACCGGACTCCCGCCCCTCCCCAGGGCCGAGGCCCTGCAGAGCACCTTCCTGCTGATGAGCCCCCGCCAGCTGTACGAGCACTTCCGGGGCGACTACCAGACGCACGACATCGGCTGGAGCGAGGAGCAGGCGGGCACCGTGCTGCAGGCCTGGCAGCGGCGCTTCGTGCAGGTCGGCGAGGGGCCGGGCAGGCGGTGCCCCGAGGCCGCGCCCCCGCCGCCCCTCACGCCCTCCCTCCCCGTGTCTCCAGCTGGCCCAGGAGGCGCTGCCTGAGAACGCGTCCCAGCAGATCCACGCCTTCTCCTCCACCACCCTGGACGACATCCTGCACGCCTTCTCCGAAGTCAGCGCCGCCCGCGTGGCGGGAGGCTACCTGCTCATGGTGGGTCCCCCTCCGGGCCCCTCCCCGCCCCCCCCCCGCCCCTGGCGCCCGCCCCGGGGACCCCGTCCACCACGGCCCTCTCCCCCCCCGCAGCTGGCCTACGCCTGCGTGACCATGCTGCGGTGGGACTGTGCGCAGTCGCAGGGCGCCGTGGGCCTCGCCGGGGTGCTGCTGGTGGCCCTGGCCGTGGCCTCCGGCCTCGGGCTCTGCGCCCTGCTGGGCATCGCCTTCAACGCCGCCACCACCCAGGTACCGCGGGGCCGCCGGGCGGGCGTGGGCGCCCCCGGCTCGGCCCCTCGGCTCCTCCGGCTGCCCGCCCTGTGCCCCCCCAGGTGCTGCCCTTCCTGGCGCTGGGCATCGGCGTGGACGACATATTCCTGCTGGCACACGCCTTCGCGGAGGCCCCGCCCGGCACCCCGCTCCAGGTGCGCCCTCCGCCGCCCGGCGCGTCCGCCGGGTGCGGCCTCCCGGTCGGGGGGCCTCGGGCTGGGGTTAACCTCTGCCTCGGTGGGTGTAGTAAACGTGCTTGTCCCCTAAAGGCTGATCATTCAGGTCCGGTGCTCAGCACAGGGCGTGTGGCCGTCCTGGTCCCAGTAACTGTTGGCAGCTGGGTGGTCATTGTCCCTCCTCTGCCTCCCCTCGCTGTACCCCGAAGACTCAGCCCCGCCCCCCCGCCCGCCCCCGTCCCGCAGGAGCGCATGGGCGAGTGTCTGCTCCGCGCAGGCCCCAGCGTCGCACTCACCTCCATCAACAACATGGTGGCCTTCTTCATGGCCGCCCTGGTGCCCATCCCCGCGCTGCGGGCCTTCTCCCTGCAGGTGAGGCTCAGGGGGAGGGCCCGGCACGGGGGGCGGGGGGCCGGGCGCAGGGCGGGCGCGGGTGGGCACCGCGGATGTGAGGTGGGCACGGGCGGGCGTGCTTCATCCAGCCCCCGCCCCCTCCCCGTCCACCCCCAGGCGGCCGTCGTGGTCGCATGCAACTTTGCCGCCGTGATGCTGGTCTTCCCAGCCATCCTCAGCCTGGACCTGCACCGGCGCCACTGCCAGCGCCTCGACGTGCTCTGCTGCTTCTCGAGGTGCCGCCCCTGAACCCCACCGGGCTGTCCTCCCCTGACACCCCCTCCTGTCCCCTCACCGGCATTTCCCGGCACAGACCCGTCACCTGTCTCTCTGCCTTCCAGCCCCTGCTCCGCGCGGGTGATCCAGATTCTGCCCCAGGAGCTGGCGGACAGGATGGTCCCAGTGGGCATTGCCCACCTGACCGCCACCGTCCACGCCTTCGCCCACTGTGAGGCCGGCAGCCAGCACGTGGTCACCAGCCTGCCTCCCCAAGCCCACCTGGTGCCTGCGCCTTCCGACCCGCTGAGCGCTGAGCTGTTCAGCCCGGGAGGGTCCACACGGGACCTCCTGGGCCAGGAGGAGGGGACAGGGCAGAAGGCGGCCTACAGGTCTCTGCCCTGTGCCCGCTGGACTCTTGCCCACTTTGCCCGCCATCGGTTTGCACCCTTGCTGCTCCAGTCACAGGCCAAGGTAAGAGTCCAGGCCCAGAGGAGCGGGGTGGCGGGGCAGGCACTGGGTGTCTCGGCCAGGGGCCTGGCCCGCCGTCTGCCGGCCGGGGCGGCCCTGGGCCTCCACCGGAGCTGCCGTTTCCCACAGGCTGCGGTGCTGGTCCTCTTTGGGGCTCTCCTGGGCCTGAGCCTGTACGGAGCGACCCTGGTGCAGGACGGGCTGGCCCTGACCGACGTGGTGCCCCGGGGCACCAAGGAGCACGCCTTCCTGAGCACCCAGCTCAGGTACTTCTCCCTGTACGAGGTGGCCCTGGTGACCCAGGGAGGCTTCGACTACGCCCACTCCCAACGCGCCCTCTTTGGTCTGCACCAGCGCTTCAGCTCCCTCAAGGCCGTGCTGCCCCCGCCCGCCGCCCAGGCGCCGCGCACCTGGCTGCACTATTACCGCGACTGGCTGCAGGGTGAGGGGGGTGCAAGGTGAGGGGGGGCTGCGGGCTGAGGGGGGCTGCGGGGGGAGGGGGGCTGCGGGGGGAGGCGGGGGGGGAGGGGCCGCGGGGGGAGGCCGGGGGGCGGGGCCCGCGGGCTGACGGCACCCTCCCCGCTCCCCCCAGGCATCCAGGCTGCGTTTGACCAGGACTGGGCTTCTGGCCGCATCACCCGCCACTCGTACCGCAACGGCTCCGAGGACGGGGCGCTGGCCTACAAGCTGCTGGTCCAGACGGGGGACGCCCGGGAGCCTCTGGACTTCAGCCAGGTGGGGAGCGGGCGGGGGCTCGGGGGGCGGGCGCCGGGCCCCACGGCCGGCCGTCAGCCCTCCCTCCTCCGCAGCTGGGCGCCAGGAGGCTGGTGGACGAGGAGGGGCTGATCCCGCCCGAGCTCTTCTACGTGGGGCTGACCGTGTGGGCGAGCAGCGACCCCCTGGGCCTGGCCGCCTCGCAGGCCAACTTCTACCCCCCGCCCCCCGAGTGGCTGCACGACAAGTACGACACCACCGGGGAGAACCTGCGCAGTGAGTCCGGGGCAGGGGGGCGCGGGGGGCTGGGGGGCAGGAAAGCCTCGGCAGGCCCTACCCCAAGGCCCTGCCCGCTGCTCCGTGCTCACTGGCCGCCTCCTCCTCCCCCCCCTCCAGTCCCGGCGGCCCAGCCCCTGGAGTTTGCCCAGTTCCCCTTCCTGCTGCGCGGCCTCCAGAAGACGGAGGACTTCGTGGAGGCGATCGAGGGAGCCCGGGCAGCGTGCGCCGAGGCGGGCCGGGCCGGGGTGCGCGCCTACCCCAGCGGCTCTCCCTTCCTCTTCTGGGAGCAGTACCTGGGCCTGCGGCGCTGCTTCCTGCTGGCCGTCTGCATCCTGCTGGTGTGCACCTTCCTCGTCTGTGCCCTGCTGCTGCTCAACCCCTGGACCGCCGGCCTCATCGTGAGTCTGTGGGGCTGGGGCTGGACAGACCCGGGTCCCATCGCCCTCCTCCCGGAGCCCCCGGTGAGCCGCCCGCCCCCCCAGGTGCTGGTCCTGGCGGTGATGACCGTGGAGCTCTTCGGCATCATGGGCTTCCTGGGCATCAAGCTGAGCGCCATCCCCGTGGTGATCCTCGTGGCCTCCGTGGGCATCGGTGTGGAGTTCACGGTCCACGTGGCTCTGGTGAGCATGGCCCTGGGGGAGGCGCGGGCTGGCAGCAAGGACCTACCAAGCACCTGCTGTGTGCTGGGACCATTTAGGAATTGGGGGGAAGATACAGTACAGGCAGGCTTTGCCTTCAAGGAGCTTGCGTTCTAGAGGTTAGTGGTAAACAAGTAAGCAAATAAATAAACAAGCAGCCATTTCAGTGGACAGGAGGGACAAAGCCTGAGCAGAGCGGAAGGAGAGAAAAGGGGACGTGGTGCCGCTTTGGGGCGGCCTTACTGCGAAGGGGGTCGGAGGCACGGGTGGAGCAGATGGCAGAGCGGGTCAGGAGGGCGCCTGCCAAGGCAGAGGCAGGAGAGCTGAGGCCGGCACCGGCCTGGCAGAGCTTCAGCTCTCCCACAGAGGAGGAGTGGGACGCGGAGGGGCCTCGACCAGCTGGAGGCACCAGCACAGACGGCTCCCTTCTCTTTCCACTCACAATAGCTCTGTTATTATTCTCATCGTAAGAACTATACCCTGCGGGGTGCGGGGGACAGAAGGCAGCAAGCGGAGAAGTGCAAAGAACAGGAATGCCGCCCTGAGAAATGGCGGCGCTGTAGTGCCCGCCGCCCAGGCAGGGAGGCAGCCACGTGGTTCGTGTTTTAGGCTTGGCGAGTCCTGTCGTCTCTCCTGCATCTCGGCCATGGTAGCACGAGAGCCGAAACAGACACTACGGAAGTGAATGGGTGTGGCTGCGTTTAAACAAAACTTTATTTACAAAAATAGGGGACAGGCTGTAGTTTGCCAGCCTATTGTGGGCATTGCTCTGTGTCTCACCAGACACATCTATAGAGTGTTGCCTGCATGGACTCGCGCACACTGCCTGGACAGTTCCCAGGAGCTCGGCCTGCCTGGCTGCTGGGGGTCAGGGCCCGCCTGGCTGCTGGGGGTCAGGGCATGGGTGACCCCAGGGACAGATGGCAGACGTTGGCACCAGGAGAGCCGGGCCTGCGTGGCTGAGGACCAGCTCCAGGACCGCTTCTCCCCCAGGGCTTCCTGGCCACCCAGGGCAGCCGGAACCTGCGGGCCGCCCGGGCCCTGGAGCACACGTTTGCCCCCGTGACCGACGGGGCCGTCTCCACGTTGCTGGGTCTGCTCATGCTTGCCGGTTCCAACTTCGACTTCATCGTAAGGTAGAGCGTAAGGGGCGCTGGGGCAGGGAGGCGGGGCCCGCCCGTGCTGGCCTCGGGGCCTGCCCACGCTGACCTCCCCCCCCCGCCAGGTACTTCTTCGTGGTGCTGACGGTGCTCACGCTCCTGGGCCTCCTCCATGGGCTGGTGCTGCTGCCTGTGCTGCTGTCCATCCTGGGCCCCCCACCCGAGGTGACCGTGCACCTAGCCCGGGGGACGGAGCGGGACGGGCAAGGGAAGGGACAGAGCAGGACAGAATGCCCTCCGCGGACAAAGAGTCTGGGCTCAACCCTCAAGGATCCTTCCAATGAGGCACTCCAACTGGAGGTGGCAGCCTCCCCCTTTGCCCAGACACCGTGGCCTGCCCCCTCGTCTCTTTATAGAACCCGCCTGAGCCTTCAGGGTCCAGAGCGAGCAGGGGGCACGGTTTGTCCCAGGCCGTGACATCTGTCCCTCGGCAGGTGTCCTGTCCTGCTGGAGGCCAACAAGGGCCCCAGCTGCCCGGCAGCCACGGCGCTGCCCCAGGCAGGTGCTGAGGGATGGAGGCTCCGCCTGGGCTCACTGGGCTGGTGTCTCCCCAGGTGGTCCAGCTGTACAAGGAGAGCCCCCAGGCCCGGAATCCCCCCGCCCCCCGAGCAGGAGGGCTGAGGTGGGGGCCGTCGCCCGCCCTGCCCCAGAGCTTCGCCAGAGTGACGACCTCCATGACCGTGGCCCTGCACCCACCCCCTCTGCCTGGCGCCTACATCCACCCCGGCTCTGATGACCCTCCCTGGCCCCCGGCCGCCACTCCAGCTGCCGGCGGCTCCAGCACCCTCCCCGCCAGGGGACCGTGTGCGGCCACAGAGTGAACGCGCAGCTGACTGGGCCAAGTGAAGTCACTGGAAAGCAGTGGGTGGTTCCTGAGTGCGGGGCGGGCTCCCGCAGAGCCTGCTGCTGCTGCTGCTGCTGCCCGCCCGCCCCCCTCCCGACTCCGCCATCACAGCCCTCCCTGATGTCTGAACAGAACCAGCACCCTCAGGGCTGGGAGCAGCCTTCCACTCTGGGTCCTGTGTGCCTGTCCCTCTGTCCAGGCAGGAGTAAAACCAGCACCCCACCCTGCGGCCCCCAGCAGACCAGCCTGAGGGGCCCTCCAGCCCCCTTTGCCAGCCCTGGCCCCCACTGCCTGTGACTCCTGGGTAGGCTCTCTGTATCCCTGCCTACCTCCTACCACATAAATTATTTATATGAAGATGTTTATTTTTGTACTTTGTACAGATGTTAGCTATGCTGAAAGGTTTATTTTTAAAGAGTGAAATATATTCTATGTGAACTCATCTCAAATGACTGTGGTGCTTTTCTTTCGACAGAGTTGGGAGTTTGCAAGCAGGAAGGTCAGGACCTAAGGCCCTGGGGTCACACTCTTCCTGGGTGGGAAAGGCCCCGGGTTTCAGTGTTTGTCACGTGACTGCAGTGTATTTATTCACATGTCGGTCATGTGCTCGGTACTGGTCTGGGTTGAGTGCTCAGCGTACAACATGATACAAATGTTTTCAGTGTCACACGCTGCTGTGTGGCTGTCAGAGCCATCGTAATCCAGCCCTGCACACCCCAGACGCCTTGCCAGCAGCATGCTGGGCGTGGGTGAGGGCATTTGGGCTTGGCGATAAGAGTGCAGTGGAAGATCAGGAAAGTGGCCCATGGAGGAGATGGGGCCTCCAGGGTCTGGGGAGATGGTTCAGTTTTGTGCCCAGACCAACCCTAAGGTTAGCAGTCAGCCTGGCTCCCAGAGGCCACACATCAGGGGATCAGTGGGGGAGTGTTCAGAAAGTGTGCGAGGAGCCAGGGAGGCCCGGTACTGAAGATGTTTGTTCTGTGACGGTAGAGCAGTCCCTTGCACAGAGAGGTCTCGAAGACTCTGGCCACACCCCTGGACTAGAGTGCTGGGCCTCACTCCATGGGGCGGATCTTTTACCGCCTTTCCCCGCCTATCCCAGGCCTCCGTCCCAGCCACCCACTCACCAGGAGCAGTCCCTCCCTGAGAGCACTGCCTTCTCACACCTCAAAGGCCAGATAACCATGTTCTGACCAAAAATGAAAAAACAACTAAATAAGCCTGTTGCAGCTGAAGCAACACTAAAATACCTAGAAAGGCTTATGAGAAGTGAGTAGTTGGCTTGGAAACTAGACGAGGGGGTGTACCCAAGGCCTCCCAGGAATGGACGTTGGCTGGATTTGGGTCCGGGGGTGTTGGGTCACCAGGAGCTTTTGGGTGGAGCAGAAGAGCTTACCAGACTGGAACACACAAAAGCTGACAGCCCACTGTGCCGCTTACCAGCTGAGTGACCTGTGGACGTTACCACCTGAGCCTCAGTGTCTTCCTCTGTGAAATGGGACGATTAGCCCTAACCGACTTGGCTCAGTGGATAGAGCATTGGGTCGGGAACTGAAGGATCCCAGGTCTGATTCTGGTCAAGGGCATGTACCAAGGGCATCTATCTCCAGTTGGGGGGGGGGGGGAAAGCAGTGTTTGCAGGAGACAGCTGCTCTGTTTCTAATTCTCTATCCCTCTCCCTTGCTCTCTGTAAAAAAAATCAATAAAAAATTTTTTTTTTAATGGGACCATTAGAGCCTATCTTGTGGGGTGCCATCTTCCTTCCAGGATTTAAAATTAAATCCTTTATGTGAAAAATGACCTGCTATCGCCTAAGTGCTGTGTTTGTATAGATGTCAGCTTTTTTGAAAGACTTTGCTGTGATGGTTTGCTTAGGGAAAAACCCCGAAACATGGAATGAAAGGTGTGTCCTGGTCTGGCTGCCGCTGATGGATTCCAGCCGGGGAGCTCCTCCATCACCGGAGTGGCCCGTCCCGGGCGCTGACCACATCCAGGCTCTGGGACACGTCCGGGCTTGCAGGGCAGTGCACCCGGGGTCCTCTGACTTCACACCCTCGGCCTCCCCAGCCCTGACGAGAGAAATGCGCGCTGTTTGCAGGCCCAGCTCCATTCGGCCTCTGACTCCCCAGCTGGGGCAGCGCCCTGCAGACACGCCAGCGTCCAGACACGCCCTGCGGCCCCGGAGCAGCCGGCCGGTCCCGCTCAGCTCCCGGGTCTCACACACGCGGTCCCTCCGCTGGATCACGGCGCCCATCCTCCGCCCCTTTGACTAAGGTGACCAGACGTCCCGATTTTTAACAATTTGTCCCGCGGCGTTTAAAAAAGTCCCAATTTTTAAACGTCTGGTCACCTTACCTCTGACGGAACTGTCCTCAGACATCCCGGAGGCCGCTCCTTCGGGTGCTGGCCCCCCTCTCCCGGGGCCCCGCTGCCCCGACTGCCTGCGGGGCGGCCTCCGTCTCCGTCCCGGATCTGTGAGGTCCGGGGAGGATGGAAGCTGGGACTGACCCTCAGCCACCGGGGTTTATCCATCCCAGCGCCATAAGGAACCCGGAGCCGGCACCGGCGGGAAACGCCCTTTCTTCCCGGCGAAGGGGCGCGGCTCCCGGCGGAGAGGAGGAAGAGCTGCCGCCCGGCCCGACGGCGCCGCCCCGCCGGGGTGGCGGCCGAGCCCCGGCGGCGGTGATTTGCATACCCATCGTGCACCTCGACCCCGGGCCCCGCGCGGGGCGCCCCCGCGGGCGCTCCCGCCGCCGCCGCGCGCCCCGCGGGGGGAGGCCGGGGCCCCGCAGCCGCCGGGCCGGGCGCGGGCCCGCGGGCGCGCGGCCACCATAACCGAGCGGAGGGTGAGCGCGCGCCGGGCCGGCCGGGCGCCCGGTGGCGGGCATGCTCTGGTTTCTCTTCAGATCGCATAAATCTTTCGCCTTTTACTAAAGATTTCCGTGGAGAGGAACAGTTATGAGTTTTTACTCAATTTTTTGAGGCCTCGTTTTTACGAGGCTGCTTTCCGAAAGTTGAAAAGCAGAAGTGGGTTGTCAGTGGTGGCTTCCTCGCTTAGTGACCAGTGTCTGGTCTGGTATAAAGTTCCGACCTCGCACAACATTCTCCTTCTCTAGGCCCCAGGCTCAAGCTCCTTCCTTTAGGTCTCACACAGACCTTTAAGTCTGCATCCTGTGCGCTTTGCCCTTTCTAACCCGCTGGCTTTCTTTTTTTCATTTATTTATTTATTTTATTTTTTTATTTCAGAGAGAAAGGAATTTTTTTTTTTTCCAGTGTGAGTGTGAATGTGTGTGTGTGAGCGTGTGTGACTGTGTGTGTGTGTGTGTGTGTGTGTGTGTGTGTGAAGGAATTCTTTTTTTAAAGTATATCTTATTAATTTTTTACAGAGGAAGAGAAAGGGATAGAGAGAAACATCGATGAGAGAGCATCATCGACCAGCTGCCTCTTGCACGCCCCCTATTGGGGACGTGCCCGCAACCAAGGTACATGCCCTTGACCAGAATCGAATCTGGGACCTTTCAGTCCGCAGGCTGTCGCTCTATCCACTGAGCCAAACCTGTTTTTGGCAAGAGTCACACCCTTAATCTCTGTGCTACTGATGGGGTTCAGAACATGCTACCCAAAATATGGCACCTTTGCATAATGAATATTTTAAACTGAAGGAATTTGAGAAAACAGGAAAATCACTTTGACCTTCCTACCCTCACCCAGTTGTAGGCAGTTAGACATAAGCAGAGCAAGGACTATGGGCCAGGTACAGGAGGTCACCACGGTGGAAGCCCCAGGTGCCCAGCAAAGGACAATTATAGGGTGGGACTCACCCCCAGGGTGACTTTTCCTCCCCTAGCATATCGTAGTCATGAGGTTTGGACCCCCTGACCTTTCCTCCCTAGAGATAACATCTAGCCTCAGTTGTATTTCAGCTCCAGGCCCAGAAAAGCAGCAAACCCAGCCACAGCCGCTGACCTCAGGACCAGCTGCATTGGATAATCCATCAGTGGAAACTTAGACCCTGAAAAACTGCTGAATATATTCTAGTGAGATCCTCCCCTGGGACGTCCCCTAAAATCTTCACCCTTAAAACCCTGAGGACCGAGAACCCAGGGTGCTCTTCCCCCTCCCCATTCCTCCAGGCTCCTTACCATCACCTTCCTCACTCCCAATCTCCAAGGGCCCTTCCTTTACTTCTATAACGTGTTTCTTCTACCTCTGTGATTTTGTATAATAAATAAATGTCCTCTTACAGTTGGAATCCCGGCTCTGAATTCTTTCTTAGCTGAAACCCAAGTACTGAGGTTGCTTAACCAAGGTCCGGTCTGACCCCACCAGACTAACACCTGGTCCCATTCCTGCTGCCCACTCCTTCTCCCTAAAGACAGGTGATACAATCCTCAGGAGAGAGGAACCCTCCCTATACCCAGAGGAAAGCTACCATCCTTATCTCCAAGGACTAAGGGACTCTGAGAAGAATCCTAACCCACAGGCCTTGCTGAGTTGCCTCCAGTTACACTTCCCTCATATATTTTTTTAATATTATTGATTTAATATTATTGATTTTTTACAGAGAGGAAGAAAGAGGGATAGAGAATTAGAAACATCGATGAGAGAGAATCACCGATCAGCTGCCTGTTGCACACCCCCTACTGGGGATGTGCCCGCAACCAAGGTACATGCCCTTGATCGGAATCGAACCTGGGACCTTTCAGTCTGCAGGCCTTCACTGAACGTTACAGACCATTGCTTCACTGACAGGGACGGGGAAGCAGACGGTAATCAGGCCCCACTCCAGGCCCCAGGGATTTTTTCCAGGGAGATTCAGATCCTCAGGAAGACAGAATGTGTGATGAATGAAAGTCTAGCAGGGGGAGTCTCCAATAACCAAGAGCAGCTCTAGCCGGCCTGGCTCAGTGGAAAGAGTATTGGCCTGAGGACTGAAGGGTCCCAGGTTCAATTCTGGTCAAGGGCATGTGTCCAGGTTGCAGGCTCAATCCCCAGTGAGGAGCATGCTGGAGGCAGCTGCTCTCATAGTTGATGTTTCTATCTTTCTCGCCTTCTTCCTTCCTCTCTGAAAGGAATAAAAATATATATTTTTAATAAATAAATAAATAAATAAATAATGAAGAGTAAATCCAGAGCTAGAGGATTAGTGCCTTCACGGCCAGTGAATTCATGTGAAGAGAATTGCTATTATTTGGAGCCACTAATAAATTTCGAGTGCCCTGATAGCAAAATTTTTGTCCTGAGGGCAATGGAGGTGTTGAGGGACTTAATAAGGGGAGTAGGGCTGCTAATCTTTGGTAAATCTAGCAGCAGCATGAGAAGTGAACTTGGGGGAAGGGCTGCTCAGATGAAGGCGAGAAGACTAATTCATCTGTTTCAGTAATTCCTGCCACAGGTATACTGACTGAACTGGGCAGAAAGAGCTGAAACAGCTGTAAGAATCCTGTCAAGGAGAAAAAAATAATTTTCCTCTACTCTGAGCTCTTGGCTGATACCCCTATCTTATATAATAAAGAGGTGATATGCAAATTGACTGTCATACCCTCACACAAGATGGTCACCCCCATGTGGTCACAAGATGGCCACCACAAGATGGCTGGCAGGGGAGGGCAGTTGTGGGCTATCAGGCCAGCAGAGGAGGGCAGTTGGGGGCAACCAGGCCAGCAGGGGAGGGCAGTTGGTAGCAATCGGGCCAGCAGGGGAGCAGTTAGGCGTTGATCAGGATGGCAGGGGAGTGGTTAGGGGGTGATCAGGCTGGCAGGCAGAAGCAGTTAGGGACAATCAGGTAGGCAGGCAGGCGAGCAGTTGGGAGCCAGCAGTCCCAGATTGTGAGAGGGATGTCTGACTACTGGCAGTCCCAGATTGGAGAGGGTGTAGGCTGGGCTGGGGGACACCCTCCCCCCCATTGCACAAATTTTGTGCACCAAGCCTCTAGTAATAATAATAATAATAATAATAATAATAATAATAATAAACAGATTAACAAGAGAAAAACAAACAGAAGTTTATTAACATGTATACTTCGTGTATACATGGGAGATACCCCAGGAAAAATGAGTAAGTCCCTGAAGTGGCCCAGAACACCCACTTTAATACCACCTTCCGCCTACGACGGGAGAGAAGTGAGGGGCCACCAGCAACAGCAGGTAAACGCGGGTGGTTAGCTCTCAGGGGCGCCTTTTCCACTCGAGTTCGTCATCCTTTTCCTGGAAAATGGAGACTTCCTTTATAAATATAAATTTCCCTTACAAAAGGGTAACTTGTACTGTTCTCAGAACTTCTCCTGTTTCTCAAAATATCCAGCTTAAAATAACCCTTATGTCCAAAAGGCATATTGGGCTTGGCATACTCCCTGCCCTTGTCCCTTAGAAGGCAGCGGAAGCAGCCGGGAAGAGGAGTGAGGCCGGGGGACCCCGGCTTCGGGCTTGGCACTCACGGCGGTGAGAAACCACGGTCAGAACTAGGGAAAGAGGAGGAAGCTCAGTTTTGAACGGTGTCTGGTGTCCGTGAGCCATTTACAAAGCGACCTCCAGGAGGCAGGTGTGGAAATATCGAAGGGGCTGAGCAGAGAAGCACAAGCGCAAATGGGGCGGGTGAGAGTGCCCGGGGCCCGGGGCCCGGGGCCCGGGGCAGAGTTAGGGTAAGGCGCCCGAGGCCCGGGGCCCAGTTAGGATAAGGTGCCCGGGAAAACGATTTCGGTTTTTCGCGTGGCCAGGAGGGCGGGCCCAGCTCACGCCCGCGCCCTTCCCGCCCTCCTCGGCCCCGCCCACAGAGCTCTGCGCCCCGCCCACCCGGTGCTTCCCGCGCCCCACCCGCCGAGCATGCTGGGAGCGGAAGCCCGCTCAGAGGACCGAGCATGTCGGGAGTTGTAGTTCAGGAGAGGCCCAGCCTTCCTCGCGAGACCTGGCCTTTAGTCACTTGAAGGGCAGGTCCAGAAAGCGGTGATGCTCCCGGGGCAGGGTGCCCCTCCGGCGGCGGCACGTGGCACCCCGGGCCGCATCTCCTCTTCGCAGAGCGTGGCATTTCCACGCCTCCACGATCTGCTCCACCTTCAGGGGAAGGCCGGTCACTCACTGTGGAGTCCCGCAGTGCCCCCTTCACCCCCCAGACCCTGTGCCCCCACCCCCACCCCACGCTGCTGGGTGGCTCTGAGCCTGGTTCCTCGCCTCCGCACCGGGATGAGCGGCTCCCTCCGGTTTTGCTCTTCCAGGGCACTCAGCTCCGCGGGGGCCAGCAGGGCCAGTCTCAGCTCCCGCACCACTGGGGCTGCTACCTCGACCACAGGCCGGTCCAGCACCGCCTGCGAACACCAGTCTTGAGCCCGGGCGGAGCGGAGAAGGGGCACCTGGCCCACCGCCCGCCCCCCCGGGTTCCGGCAGCCCCACCCTTCGGCACCTCAGCCCGCGCTCCCCTTCGCCCCGCTCACCGCTCCCACGCGCGCCCAGCTCCGGGCCGCCAGGACCAGATCAGCCTCGTCCACGCAGAGCTTGTCACTGCGCAGCAGGAGCAGCAACGCGGGCGCCGACAGCTCCAGGAAGCCACGGGTCCGAAGCGCTTCCTGTGGGTCCAGGAATGGGTCAGGGTGGAGCAGGAGAGGTGCGGGGTTGTATGAAAACGGCGAGCTGTACCTGGCTGTGGGCCTCTATGAAGGCTATGCACCGCTCCTGCAGTGGTCCCAGGCCAAAGGTGACAGCCACCTGGGAGCGGAACAAGGGAGATGAAGTCAGAGGAGAGGCCGTGGACTAGTAGCCCAGCCCTCCACACTGCGGACCACCTGCTTGGGTCCAGCAACACCCACCTGCAGGGCCTCACACACCAGCTCCACATCCAGCACCTTCACTGCAAACTCCAGACAGAGCTGGAAACAAAGGAGTGTAGGTTGTGCTGAGGTATCCTTGCTCCCCGACCCCAACCCATCCCAGAAGCAGTAAGCAGGCTGGGAACTGTCAGCCTTCCAGACTCCTAGCAGGCCCAGGCCCACTGTCTCCCAGGCCAGACAGGGAATCACCAGGGCCTAAGCCTTGGCAAGCCCAGCCCTCCACAAAAGAGTTTACATGTCTATTTCTATTTGAAGAACAAGAATGAAGGCTCTTGGTGAAACCGGTTTGCTCAGTGGATAGAGCACCAGCCTGCGGACTAAAAGGTCACAGGTTCGATTCCGGTCAAGGACATGTACCTTGGTTGCAGGCACATCCCCAGCAGGGGGTGTGCAAGAGGCAGCCGATCGATGTTTCTAGCTTTCTATCCCTCTTTTCTCTCTGTAAAAACTCAATAAAATATATTTTAAAAAAAGAAAAAAGAATGAAGGCTCTTATCTGATATATATAGCACCAGCCATAAACACCTCATAAGCCCCCACAGCCCACAGCCGGCAGGTAGGCATCCTTTTGCACACAGGCACACATACGGGCCTAAGATACTTCTCTTGGCGTTGGTACATGCTCCCCTCCAGGACAGAATGAGTGGGAGGGAGGATATGAAACGAACCCCTAAGAGGCAAGGGAGAGGGGCTGCCACCTACACCCACCTCTCTCAAGTCCTCCAGCCCATACTCCACAGCGGCGGTCAGCACCTCCAGCACCTGCAAGTGGTGGTGGGAGCGGAAGAGTTTTCCCTGCTCCTCAGCCCCCCACACCCGCTCCCTCTCCCGCCCAGACCTCTGCCCGTGGGCTCACAGAATGGCGGTGCAGCTTGACGCTGTTGGTGTACAAGAACTCCAGCACTGCCAGGAAGGCCTCCGCGGGCACGGTGCTCAGCACCACTGGGCCGGGCACCCCAGGGCCCGGCTCTGGGCCCAGAAGTCGCTGGAAAAAGTTGCATCTACAGGCCAGCAAGCACCGGTGGGCAAACACCTCCTGCCGCTCTTGACCGACCACAAAGCGAACATCACTGTAGAAGAGAGGGGCAGAGATGCCGAAACCGGTTTGGCTCAGTGGATAAAGCGTCGGCCTGCGGACTAAAGGGTCCCGGGTTCGATTCCTGTGAAGGGCATGTACCTTGGCTGCGGGCTGTGTGCAAGAGGCAGCTGATTGATGATTCTCTCTTATCGATGTTTCTAACTCTCTATCCCTCTATGTAAAAAATCAATAAGATTTATTAAAAAAAAAAAAAAAAAGTAAGAAAGAAAAGAAAAGAAGAGAGGGGCAGAGAGCCAGGGGAGACGAGGCCAGAGTCTAGGATGAAACTCTAGGTCTTTGCTTCCTTATCTGTCCTATAAGAGAGAGGGCTTAGTTCCTCCAGCCGAAGGTTTGGGACAGAAAGGCCTGTGTTCTGGTCCCCGTTCCACCCTATAGAACCTCAGGCAAGTGACCTTTGAACCTCAGTGCTCTCCCCCGTGAAATGGGACGGCATTCCCGGACTCTCAGGCCTCGGAGGAGGTGGCTATGCTTCATCACTGAGGAAGCTCCAGGGCTGATGCCAGCTGGATTACACATACCCTCTCCTCCCCGCCTGGTCCTGGGGGAAGGGCAGCCCTGCGTGCTCTTCCTCCACAGACTGCAAGCTCAGCTTGTTCAGCCTCCTCCAGGCAAGAAGGGGTGGGAGGACAGGGACACAGACACAGCGGTAATGCACCATCAACAGGCCAGACCACATTTTCCATCCTCACGATCGCTTCCGGCCCCGGCCTCTGGGCCTCTGACAACAGAGTGGGTCGGAGGCGGATGAAACCTGACTTCCTGGAGCCTCCTGGTCCCAGTTCCAAGGCCTGGGATCCCCGAAGCAGTGGGGTGATGGGATTCAGCAACCTTTGTGGAGGAGCCCGGCTCTGAGCCAGTGGGGACTGAAAGCTACATTCTCATTCTCCCCACCGGCCCTGCCCCCATTCTCTATTCCTGGTTTCAGACCACGTGGGTCCTAGGCAGACACTGAGCCCCAGACAGCACCCTTGACCCACACTTCCTGTCTCAGACTTTGGCTCCATCCCTGGAACCTTGTTCCTTAGTAAACCCCCAGTTCCGGAACAGGGTCATCTGCTCCTCTGCCTCCCGAGGGAGGGACTCAAGTGACAGCCCATCTCTCAGGATCCAGGGAGTGGGGGCTCTTTGCTAGGAGCCCAAGATTCAAAAAAAAGGAAGGCCTTTGCCTAAGATCACACAGTCACCCACTGCCCTCCCCCTCTGGTCTGGGGATATGATGGCCCCTGTGTTCAAGAAGGTCAAGTCCTAATTCCCCGCCTCCTCTGCGCTCAGGGCTTCCTGAGTCATGGGGCCCAGCAGAGCCCGCTCTCCAAACCCACAGAGGACCAGCCCCCTCACCTGTACAGGCGGTTGTTGACGAGGCTGCGGAGAGCTTTGGAAAAGGGCTCAGCTTCCCCGTGCACCGGTCCCGGGGGCTCCATGGATGGGCCGGGGCAGGGGAGCGAGGGAAATCGCCTAGCAGGCCTGTTGTAGGTCTGTATGTGGGAGGCAGTGGGTGGCCTGGCCAGGCCTCACAGTTCGTAAAGAGGCTAGAAAGGCCGGAGAGAGAGGGGCAGGAGTGTGGGAGGCCTGTTTGCTGAGAAGCTGCTAGGGATGGGGCAGGAGAGGCCCAGGTGTCGGAAGAAGGCATCGGAGGCTGGTGGAGGAGGCCAGAGGCTCCTCAGGGAGGGGCCAAGCTGGAGGCCAAGCTGGAGCAGACTAAATGGGGGAGGAGAAGCGAGCTGCAAATGAGGCCCCGGCTGGGAGCCTGCCCAGGCAGACTAGGGTGGGAAGCCTGTGGGTTTCCAAGGAAACTGGAGCCTGGCCTAAGGAGGCCCCGCCCAGCTCCCACAGGCCTCGGGGAAACTTCAGCCTTCTGAGGGGCCCTCAGCGGAATCGGAGGGTACCAGCACCCTCCCTGCCCCTCCCCCACAGGCACAGAGTTCGGATCAGGTTAGCCAGGTCTGGGAAACCCCCCTCCACAAGGGAGGGAACCAGGAAGGGAGTGCTCGCCCAGCAACCCATGGCAACTTCATAACACAGGCCAGGAAGGGAAGCGCGGTTCTCAGGGCCCAGATTGGGTTTAGGTGGGAGCGGGCAGTCCTGGCTCTCCCAGAGCGGGTCAGGGGAGGAGGTGTCAGATCTGACAGAGGAGTCATGGCCTCTGGCATCCCTGAAATGCAGCCCAAGGGGTGTGGCCAGCCGGGGACAAGCCCCTGAGGACTGGATTCGGCCAGCAGGGCCAGCAGGGTCGGAAGGCTGGATGCCCGGTGGTGAGCCCCCCTCCCATGTGCTCAGGCAGCCCTGAGTTGAGGAAGTCAGCCAAGCCCCACCCCAGCTCTGCGCGGGGAGCGGAAATAGTTGTCCTTGTTTAGACTGAAGGAGAGGCGATGGAGTCATGATGCACTCCTTCCTGTGGGCCCGGAGCCTGACTCCCGAGCAGCCGCCCCCGCAGTGGCCTCAAGGTCTCCCCACATCCCCGGCCTCAGAGACTCACAAGGGAAGAGCCATGCTTCACAAGAAGAGAACAGGGCAGCGGCCAAAGAGCCTGGGGCGGGGACCCCTTTCTGACCAGCATCCCTCTCCACATCTGCGCCCCGTAGTGCCTGTCCCAGTAGGAGGCTCCTGCGCGCGGAGCCCCATTGTCCCCTCTCCCGGGGTGACTCAGCCGCCCGGCGCTCAGCACGTGCTCACAGGAGGACACTCCCGGGTTAAGTCAGAGCCCGGAGGGCGGGAGGGAGCCAGGAAGGGAGGAGTGCTTGCCCAGCAACCCATGGCAACGCCACAACACAGGCACAAGGGGCCCTTCTCCCACCTGCCGGGAGGCCACCCAGGCTGTGAGAGCTGCAGGTGACAGGGTGCCTGCGGGGATTTCGGAAGAGCTGCCATCCCGGAACTGATCCTGGAGGTAGGGCCAGAGGCCACAGCAGTGGGCGAAGGGGCTTCCTGGGCCACCTGCCCCAGCCCCAGCCCGTTGTGGGGAGAAATGTGTGCCCTCCGTGTTCTACAAGCAGGTGGGGGAAGATGGCTGGACAGAACACTCACAGGGCTAGGACCGGTGGGCTGGAGTGGGGTCTGTCACTCCCTCCTGCTGGTTAGGGGTTGAAGGCACCTCTGTCTAGGCTGAGGCACAAAACAGATGCCTCTACCCCAGTGGTTCTCAACCTTTCTAATGCCGCGACCCTTTAATACAGTTCCTCATGTAGTGGTGACCCCCAACCAAAAAATTATTTTCGTTGCTCCTTCATAACTAATTTTGCAGCTCTTATGAACCGCAATGTAAATATCTGTTTTCCAATGGTCTTAGGCTCCACAGCAGCGGACCCACGGTTGAGAACCACCAGCAGGGTCGCCTAAGACCATCGGAAAACACAGATATTTACATTACGGTTCATAACAGCAGCAAAATTAGTTATGAAGGAGCAACGATAATAATTTTATGGTTGGGGGTCACCACTACATGAGGAACTGAATTAAAGGGCCGCGGCATTAGAAAGGTTGAGAACCACTGATCTAGACTTTCTCCTGCCGGCTGACCCCCAGTGCCCAGAGGAAGGAGGAGCCCCAGGGACAGGGTCAGTCCAAGATAACAATCTAAGCAGCATCTTTCCTTGTCTATGTCCCTAACAGCCTCAATCCTCTGAGCACCTAAGAATTCCCTCAGCCCTGGCCTAGCTGATTGACCTGCCTCAAAAACCCAGGTAAGAAGAGGTTAGGGGATAAAAGACCCTTATTACCAAGTAAGAAAATGAGTGATATTCCAAGGTGAAGGCCACCCCATCCCAGTGTGGGTCTCTCAGCCCGCAGGTCCATGGCTGGGAGGCCTGTGCCCCTAGGACGCCAGGAGGAGGAGGCCGCCAAAGAGCCCGGGGCGAAGCTGTCGCTGGTGCGGCCCCCGGGCCACCTGCCCAGCATCGATGAGGCCCGGCCCGCGGCCCCGGGCCCAGCCTCCCGCCGCGGCTCCGTGCTGGGCCCGACTGCATCCTTTTCCCGCCGCAACTCGCTGGCCGGCCCAGGCTTGGGTCCCGGCGGCCGGCGGCCATCCTGGGGCCCAATGCCCCCGTTAGGCTCGAGGATCAGCTTCTCGGGGCTGCTCCTGGCACCTCCTCGGCGGATGGCGCCCTCGTACCGCACCGAGCCGGCGCCCGGGGAGCGCTGGGAGGCCGTGCGGACGCAGCACGCCCTGGAGGAAGTGCTGGCCACCGGACTACGAGACACGGTCTACCCCGGCCCCAAGGCGGGGGCCCTGGCGCGGGCGCTGTGCGAACGGGTGCACGCGCGCCTGCGGGAGCTCGGCCCGCCCCGCCACAAGCTGGTGTGCAGCGTGGTGCTGGGCCAGCGCGCCGGCCAGGGCGTGCACGTGGCCAGCCGGGCGCTCTGGGACGGCGCCCACGACGGCCTGGCCTCCGCCACCTTCACCAACGCCTCGCTCTTCGCAGTGGCCACCGTCCACGGGCTCTACTGCGAGTGAGGAGGCGCCCGGCTTCTGCAAAAACGGTTTATTGCCCCAGGAGAAGGCCCTCCCTCGGGCAGCACATCCCAATAAATAAACTGTCTGTCAATAAATAAAAGTGGTCCATAAATAGCGCCCCCTAGCTGGGGGCTAAGGCTCAGGCTTTTCTTGGAGAAGGGCTGGGAGGCAGCTCGGACAGGCAGCCCGCGACCCCAGTCAAGTTGGTCCCTGATTCCCTGGGGGGTTCGGCCCAGAGCCCCCAGCGAGGCACCGAAGGGACAGGGGGGGCCGGGCAGGCGCAGACCGCGGGCCCGAGGGCCGGGCTAGGCCGAGCAGCGGTCCCGCAGCAGCTGCAGGGTGTAGCGGAGCCGCTGCCGCAGGTCCGGGGAGCACCCCAGCTGCCGCAGGTGGGAAGCCAGGTAGGTGCAGGCGCTGCGGTTGCGGGCCACGAAAGTCACCAGCAGGGGCTCCCAGCCGCTGAGGACCAGCTTGGTGTGGTCTCCGTAGAAGTTCACCTGCGCACAGGAGGGGGGCATGGATCAGGGCCTCGGCCCCAGGTCCTTTCCTCCCCACCACCACCACCACCACCACCCCAGGCCTCCGGGCCGACCCCCATCCCAGGAGACGCTCTTACCTGGACCGTGCCGTCGCTGAACAGCATGAGCAGGGCCTGGTCCGTCTTGACCCACTGCAGCAGGAGCGGGGGGACGGGCACCTCCACTTCCTCCACGCTCGGCAGGTCTCCACCCTGGGAGCAGAGGCAGCTCACTCGTCTGCCCTGAGCCAGGGCCCTCCCCACGGATGTCTCCCTGAGGGGGTCAGCCTTTCGCTTCGGGCCCCTCCACCGCGGGGAACAGAGAGGGACCAGGACGGGAGTCCTCCACGGGCCCCGCCCCAGGCCACACACCTTCATGAGGTGCTGTTCCATGTAGGAGGCGAAGTACCGCAGAACGCCCAGCTGAGGCTGCAGGCCCCGGGGCACGGCGCCCACCGCGAAGGAGAAGTGCTTCGTGCTGGTGGGGTTGTAGTGCACCGTCCTGGAGGGCAGGAGGGGGCAGAGGTCAGAGGGGCCCTGCGCCGACGCCCTCCCCCGAGGAGCACACCCCGAGGGGCAGCCCTGCTGGGCGCAGCGGCCTGGATACAGGAAACCCCGCAGCGGCCTTACTTCCTGTTGGCCGACAGCGCCATGTGGGTGCCGTTGTTGAAGAGCACGGCCACTCGGCGGCTGGACAGCTGGTACCCGAAGCCGAACTTGTTGGAGTAGTCGACCCACTTGCTGACCCACACCAGGGGCTCTGGCTGTGCCAGGGGCGCCGGGTTCTGATCCGCTGTCGGGGAGAGGAAGGAGTAGGGCCTGGCCCTGGCCTCGCAGCCACAGACCTCCCAGCGCCGTCACGGGCACCGGACCCCAGCTTACCCGGGGGCATGAAGGCCAGGCAGTTCCTCAGCGCACAGAGCGCGGACTCCACCACGGTGGCCACGGTCAGACCCTCCTCAAACCCTAAAGGGAACGGGGTGCCCAGAATTAGGCGCTCGTCCCCCGGGGCCCCGGCCACGTCCTCCCGCTCACGCCTCCCCTCCGGCCCCTGGGTCCAGCCCGGTAACCGCTGGCACCTCTCACGCTCCTGGCTGCTCACCATCTCCGCTGCTCGCCAGCGTCCCCCGGGGGGAGCTGTCTTCGGGCGCCGTCTCCACCAGGCTGAGGGGGGCCGGGCCGGAAGCGGCTGGGGCCTGGAGGATCGGGGAGGGGAAAGGAGTGGGTGAGACAGGCCCCAAATCCAAGTCTCCGAGAGTCCGTGGCCCAGCCCTGCCCCGGCAACCAGGACATCCCGGGTCAGCCCGGGTCAGCCCCGCCTGGCTGATGAGACGCAGCCAATTAGGCCGCCACGAGGCCCGATGCTTCAGCCGCCTCTCTCATCGCGGGCTTCCCGCAGCTGCTGGGGTGGGTGAGTCAGGGAGCACCTCACCTCAGGCTTGGCATCCTGGTGGCCGATGGACGTCCGAGTGAGGCCGCTCACCAAGCCGGACACCTCGTCCCGCTCCTCGGGGTGGTTCTTACCTGGACGGGGGCAGGCAGAGCCCTCAGGATCCTGCTCCCCGCAGGGATCACACAGCCCACGGCACCCACGCTCTCCCCCGGGCTCCCAGGCTCTCACACCCCCACAGTGTGTGTGTGTGTGTGTGTGTGTGTGTGTGTGTGTGTAACAGCCCCCTCCTGCCGTTCCGCACCCTCTGAGCCACCGGCATCCCAGACTCACCCTTGTTCTTCTTCCTGCCAAAGAGGCTCTTGGTGACTTTGACAAACAGAATCCTGGCGGGGTTCACGGGGACCAGGTCTGGGACCGTCTCGCAGCTGTTGATGGGGAGCCGGTCGGGGGTGTAGCCCTGAGGAGCGGAGCCACGTGAGCGGGACAGGGAGGGTCCCGCACCGCCCCCCCCCCTCCCCTGGGGACGTGCGAACCGGACGAAGGCGCCCGTGAGCCACGGACCTTGGTAAAGAAGTCGTGGCGCAGGATCTGGTCGATGGAGGGGCGGTCCTGGGGCGAGGCCCGGAGGATGGCGGCCAGGAGCTGGCGGGCGTGCAGCGAGAGGCTGGCGGGCAGCGTGTAGTGAACCTGCTTGATGCAGCGGTACGTCTCCTTCAGGTCGACCGTCTCGAAGGGGGGGCTCCCGCACAGCAGTGTGTACCTGGGGGCGGAGGCGCGGGGGCGGGAGTGAAGGGGGAGGCACGCCCCACCCCGCACCCATCTGCGTGCACATGACCTGCGACTCACATGACACAGCCCAGGGACCACACGTCTGCCTCCAGGCCGTGCCCCTGTCTCTGCAGCACTTCCGGGGCCACGTAGTTAGGGGTGCCACAGATGGTCCTGGAAAGGGGAGGGGAGGGCAGGGTTTAGGCCCAGCCTAGCGAGCCCTCGCCCCAGCCCTGCCCCCACTGCGAGCCCGGACAAAGCAGCTGCCTGTCACCCAAGGCCGGAGAACTCCTGCTTGTCCTGGGACAATGGATGCTGGGGATGGCAGCTGAGTCCCCGCCCACCTGCCTGGCCCAGCTGCTCAGCGGCTTTGTAGGACCGGGGAGGGAGGGCCCGGTCCCCAACCCTGCCCCCTTCTCCAGGGTCAACAGAGGGGCCATCACCGACCCCTTCCTCCTTCCCCCACTCCCATCTGTCACCTCCTACAGTCTGTGCCACATGCACACACCAACACCAGCTGTCACCTCCCCACACACTCATCCGCCACACACGCTACCTGTGTCACTCACACCCAGGTCTTCTTACATATAGGGTGCCAGGTCCTGCCATTCCCACACTCCCTCTGTCTCACACATACAATACTGGGTCACCTTCCCCCATCCACACACAAGGTCAGACTCACAGCTCCAAGAATCCTAATATCCGATGTGTCTCAGGGACACGGACACCCAATGGACCCTCAGCCTCTCCACCAGTCCCAGCAACTCAGGCTGCCACCTCCACCTTCACATATTATCTTCCCCAGCTATCTCTCTCTCTCTCTCTCTCTCTCTCTCTCTCTCTCTCACACACACACACACACACACACACACACACACACCAGGCAATCATCCGGCTTCCCACACAGGTGCTGCCTGTCAGGCAGGCGTCATCTGTGTCGCACACTGACTGTGCCACCCCCCGAGACACTCACTTCTTCCTATGCTCCGGGGGTTCCAACCGGGTTGCCAGCCCAAAATCCCCCATCTTCAGTTCCATGTTCTCAGTAATAAAGAAATTTCCTGTAAAGGGGCAGAGAGGTGTGTCACACTCCTTTCTATGCCTCTCCACCCCCACCCCTAACCCCACCCCGACCCGCCCTGCTGGCCCGGAGCCTCACCCAGCTTGAGGTCTCGGTGCAAGATGCCTCGCTGGTGCAGGTACTTGAGCCCCGAAAGGATCTGCCGCAGGTAGTAGCGCACTTCTGGCTCCAGCAGGGTGTGCCGGGCCTTCCAGATGTGGGCCAGGGACTACGGAGAACCACCGCTCAGTCCCCGACCGCCCTCCCGGGGCCTCCCGGGCCCTCCCTCCACCTGTGCTCCACGAGGGAGAGGCAGGGTCTCCAGCTTTGGATCTTAAGGCTCCTTTCCCCCTCACCCCGAGTCACGATCCCTCCCTCACCTTCCGGCTGCAGAGCTCCAGGAAGATGTAGATGCTGTCAGCATCCTCAAAGTGATGTGAGAAGCGCACGATGTGGCGGTGCTGCAGGCCGCGGTGCAGCTCGATCTCATTTAGGATCTGCAGAGGGGGAGCGGGATCGTCATCCTCCGAGGGCTCCCTCGCCACCGTCCCCACCCCGCGCCCCATCCGCTAGGCCCGGGCCCGAGCCCACCTTCTCGCGCTGATGCGGCTTGGTGATGCGGCTCTGCGAGATGACTTTGACCGCGTAGGCATTGCCGGTCTCGGTGTCAGTGGCCTCGTAGCAGCGGGCGAAGCCCCCCTGTGAGGAGGGAAGGGGGTCAGGCATGGCGCTCCCGGGGAGGCCGGATCCGGCCCGCGGAGAGCCCAAGCGCCCCCCCACCCACCGCGCCCGGCGCGGGCAGAGAGGCCACCAAGGCCCCCCTCCACCCCTGCCAGCACCACCCCGAGCTCACCTTGCCCAGCAGGCGGCCTTTGAAGTAGGTGCGGCCGCTGCCTGGGTCGGTGATGAGGCGCCCGGGGTCCGGCGCGGGCGGCGCGGCCCGCGCCTCCGGCTCAGGTCCCGGCCTGGCATCCGGCGGCGGCGGCGGCCCGGGCCCGGCGGGGGGCGCGGGCGGCGCGGGCGCGCTCGGGAAGGGGCGCGGGGACAGGGTGCCGGCCGCGGGCTCCATGCGGGCCGGGCGTCGCAGCGCGGGTCGGGCTGGTCCTCGGTCCCACCCGCCGGGGCCGCGCGCGGCGCCGTCTGGATTGGCTACGCTGGGCTCGCGCCCGAGGGAGCCCGTGGTTTTTATCAATGAACGCCGGCCCCCTCCCCGGCGCCTCGTCACGGAGGGCCCGCCCCCTTCCTGGCGGCGCGTCACCGGG